CATGGGTATTGCTATTGTTAAATCTCACTGGAGAGGAGGTGATTTTATTCAAAAAATAGGACGGACAGAGATGGAATGGGTCTACAATATGAATACCCTACACCCAGACGGTTTAAATATAGAATTCGATTTGTTTAATTTTTTATAAATATTTTTTTTTTTTTTTTTTTTCTCTCTCCATCTCATTTTTCATATCATCCTATATTTTTTATATTCACCTTACTCTCCTATTATTTTATGATTGTTATTTATTATTGTATTTATTTTATTAGCCTATATTTGCTTTTATGCATACACTATTTTTGATATTATGTATTCTATTTTACTCTCCTCTTATATATTGGATTACAAGCACACCAACTATGGACTATTGGACATTTAAGATTGCCTTCAGAATAAGTACGTCATGAACTGCACCAAATTTTGTACCAAACTGTACCTATTTTCAATCAAATAAGAATAAGACGTTCTGCTATTTTTTATATTGACGAAACACTCTTTATAAACTGCTGGATACCAGAAATATTTGATCAATGGACTTTGAGAATTCTCTATTGGTGCTTTTTATAATTTATATTTTATTTATTCTACATACTAATTCCTTATGGTTGTATTTTAGCAAGATACTCTATGTGTAAATTTTAGATGATTGATCTGTTTAAACACAGGAATTTTTCCCTATTGTCTTTTTACTGTGGCAATGTAGGGTTGTTCTGCTGCATATACATATGTTCTTTTTTTGGCATTTGGAACTGTTTGGCTGTTCATGCCTATATTGTACTCTACCACCACTCATTTGATCTTTTCCTTTTTGAATTGTTTTTTCTTGTTTGTTATAGTTGTTAGTGCTGTGCGTTCCACAGTGGAACGCACACCTATACTTCACCCGCGTCGACGCCGCGTCGTTTCCGGCGCGACGCACGACCGCGGGTGCTGTGCGTCCCATGGTGGAACGCACATCTATTTCTTGCCCGCGAGGGCGCCGCGTCATTTCCGGGGCGGCGCGTGCGTCTCACAATGGATTGGTCCTCACATACGAACGCCGCGCCGCTTCCGGTTTGGGCGCGTGCGTTCCACGCTGGCTACCGCCATCCATGTAGACGCCGGACTACTTCCGGTTTCCACCAACGAGCGTCCCTTTGATTTGGCCACACCAGGGAGCTATTATCAATTATGGTCAGTATGTTATATTTAAAGGAAGTTTTTTGATGCATGTTTTTTACACTTCTGATGAAGCCATTGGCGAAACGCGTTAAGTGTTATTTTATATAGCTTTTTATTTTATTGTATTTGTATTACTATTAAATATACTTTTAAAGCTATATTTTATCCTCATTCTATTTACATCATCATACTTCCTGGCCTGTATATCCTACAGTGGGGATTATACCACTGCATACCTTATATACTAGAGCAAGTTATCTGCTCTAGTAAATGTGAGTATAATATACTTATATTTACCTATTTATACTATTATTGGAAATTACTACACCATTGGAGTTCTCTGTATTTCTTTTATCTATACCATCACACCATTGGAGTACCCAAGACGCTGGACTTCTCATCCTAAGACGGGGATTGTACCGTCCACGCCTATCACGGTAGAGCTCCCACAGTAGCTCTACCAAATGTGAGTGTAAAATACCTTCGTTTTATTTATTACTCCTTCTCAATATTGTTAAAAATACTACACTATTGTATATATTTCTTTTTGTTTTCTTTTTGAGGACAAATTACCTGCAACTACTAAGAGACATCAAGTGTATGTATATTTAATTTATATAAGGCGCGGTTTCTCTCCTCCCTTTTTATATTGTTTCTTATCAAGGCTGGGAATCCTTGTTTTTTGTTACTGCTGCCTATCTACTGTTTATTTTTGGAGTGAGCACCCGACATACCTTTTCTCCTTCTCTTGTTAGACTACTTCCTAGTTGAGGTGCTCCACAAAAAACTCAAATAACTCAATTAATTAATATGACTTTATTTGAATATCGGGACAATTACAACATTGACCTAAATGATATCTTTAATGATATTGATGATCTAGATATACTAGACAATAATGAACCATTAATCACATTTGATGACCCAAAAGAATTATTAAAAGAACTACAATTTTCTTTAATTAAAGAAATGAAACTAAGATGGGAAATTGCGACTCTTAGTAAATATGTTGAAGACAAAATCACCCCTAGAGGTCTCAGACTTTTCAAAATGCCGACATCAGACACTGATAATAGAAATTTCA